AAGTTGGCTTAAAACTCAACATTCAGAAAACTAAGATCATGGCATCTGGTCCCATCACTTCATGGCAAATAGATGGGGAAACAATGGAAACAGTGACAGACTTATTTTTGGGGGCTCCAAAATCACTGCAGATGGTGACTGCGGCCATGAAATTAAATGATGCTTGCTTCTTGGAAGAAAAGTTATGACCAACCTAGACAGCATATTAAAAAGCAGAGACATTACTTTGCCAACAAAGGTCCATCTAGTCAAAGCTATGGTTTTTCCAGCGGTCATGTATGGGTGTGAGTTGGACTATAAAGAAAGCTGAGCACCGAAGAACTGATGCTTTTGAACTGTGGTGTTGGAGAAGACTCTTGAGAGTCCCTTGGACTGCAAGGAGATCCAGCCAGTCTATCCTAAAGGAAATTAGTCCTGAATATTCACTGGAAGTACTGATGCTAAAGCTGAAATTCCAATACTTTGGCTACCTGACATGAGGAACTGACTCATTGGAAAAGACCCTGATGCTGGGAAAGATTGAAGGGTGGGAGAAGGGGATGACAGAGGATGAGATCGTTGGATGGCATCACCACCTCGATGGACATGAGTCTGAGTAAGCTCTGGGAGTTGGTGATGGACAGGGAGGCCTGGCGTGCTGCAGTCCATGGGGTCGCAAGGAGTCAGATGCGACTGAGTGACTGAACTGAACTGAACTAATCCATTGTGGTTCTTCTCACAGGCAGACCTCAGAGACATTGTGGGTTCGACCCCAGACCACGACAATAAAAAGGGTTATCACAGTAAAGTGAGTCACACAAATTTTTTTGGTTTCCCAGTGCACATAAAAATTATTTTTATATGATATTATTCTCCGTTATATGTGCAATGGCATTATATCCATATATATATATATATATATATATATCGTCCAGGGCCTAGGACAATGCCCAGAATACAGAGGTGCTGATTAACGTTTGCATAATAAGTGTTTACTGAAGTTCATTTAAAAATAGCCCTGCATCAGAACTTTCCTCATGATCTACTGCCTAATACTCCACACTCCCAATGCAGCAGGCTGGGTTCAATTCCTGGTCAGGGAACTAGACCTCATGTGCTGTAACTAAGAGTTCATATACCGCAACAAAGCTGGAAGATCCCAAGTGCTTTAACTTAAGATCCAATACAGCCAAATAAAATAAATAAATACTCAAAATAAAGCCCAGCACTGATCTGTAACTCCATGTATCAGGAAAGTGCCTTCTCTCTCTCTCTCTCTCTCTCTCTCTCTCTTTCAAACACACACACACAAACATACACATAAAATGGCAAACAACAGGCAACCTCAATATATGGTCATTTTAAAAAATAACATAATAACACAATTCACAAATATTTTCTCTGAGAATCGATTTTCTGGTTGCTGACTCTCAAACTTTGTTTCTTTAAAAAAGATAGACCTGAAAATTCTCCTGGAACTCCACTTTTTTCTTTTCCATATTCCCTTTATTCCTTCATTCTATCATGCATACCTCATATTTTATCTTTACAACATTTGGGATCTGGTTATGACAAACTCTGTAACAGCTCATCATATTCCCTCTAGTGTCTCTTGTCTAGTTTTACTAAGTTATATCCCTTATACAGAAGTACATGACCCCAAAATACATAAAAGTCTTTTTTTGCAACCCAAAGAGTGAGGGTGTAACTGATATGAATGTAACTGACACTTATTTAACATTGATGTCTCCAAATAACTTCCTTTTAAAAAAATGTATGGTGGTGTTTTACAAGAAGTCCATTTATGGGCTCTTGAAAAATTTAGAACAAAACAATGAATCAGAGGGGGACTGTCTTCTAGTCAGATCATCATCTGTGCTTTTGTGAGTGTCCTTAACAAAGTCGACTGTTTGTCTGGCAAATGGGACACTTACGTATATAAACATGCAGACTACAAGGGAAAATCCAGAGAACGCAGAGACTGTCTAATTTATCAAGGCATGAATTCCTTCCTGGTACAGACTGCAATGGCTATTACATTGGACAACCCAAGCCAACCCCTCCCCCAAAAAGAAATCAATCCTCTCATTAGTCTGGGATAACTGACGGACAGAAATCATATTATTTAAATCTTTTGTTGATTCTGTGCCCAATATATTGATACTTAACATGAAATTTGCCTTCAGATCATGCTTTACAAAAAGCAAAAAGTAAGAACAACCATTCGTTTCCTACCTGCTGCTGTGGCCACCAGAAGCCAGGCTGCTGCTCTCCAAATGGGGCAGGCGTCAGGATTTAATCTTCAGCTCCCTCCCCTGGAACCAGAATCGTCAGAAGAAAACTTTCAATTGCTACGAGCAAGCCAACTGTTTACTTCCAGCCAATTCTTCCTTATTCCCATGGCTTGCTGAGTGCCAGAGTGGGGTGCTTAAGAAAGGATGTCTGGGGATAAAGGGGTAGAGTTTGGGGGAAAAGAGAAGAGAGAGTTCCCAGGGCAAGAATTCGCTCACCCAATACCCTTCCTTCGAGCAGAGGAAAGCCCTCTTTTTCAGTTTTAATTTCTCATGAAGAACTGCCACTGCATTACTCACAAGTAATTACTACATTGCTCCTTAACAAACAGCAGACATACTTTTTGGGCGAGCCTCCAGATTTCTGATGCATGCCTGTACCTGTCCACAGGGATAATGCTGTGCCTGGGAAAATTGAGAGGACAACAAGCCCGCCCAACGGGAGGACCAAGTCTAGACTATTAATCAAGTTCCTGAGATAAAATATGCCACAAAAGAAGATCAGAGATTTCTGTGAGCCCCTCCATCCATAGGGCATCCACCTCCCTCATGGAATCACCTGGTTAGGACTCAAACTTTTTCCAAGTAGACCAGCAGCCACACTTCATCAAGCTTCAACTTGTTTGCCCAAGGAGGAAAGGAGGAGCAAGAATTACTATTACAGAAGGAATGTGGTTTTCTTACTTACTGTGAGCAGTCAATGTAGGACCGTCAAAGATGATCGATGTGCAATTATAGCTCCTCTAAGTTTAATATCTGAAATACAGTGTTTAGGAAGACATTTCAGTGGTAAGCATGTGTTATAGAGGCTTCATATTCAATTCATTTCTAGTTTCCAACAAGAAGAGGTAACACAGTAGAGAGGTTTCTACAGCAAAGGGGTAGCAATAGGGAAATCTTAGGTATATTGTTTACTATTGTGACTTACTCTGGTTTCCAAATAAGTAAAAGGAGAATACTGCGTTGCAAGATCTGCACCGTAATATAACATCATCTCTCACTTTTACATCTATCTGCCTTGTTCTTACATCAACATTTTAGTTCTCCTCTAGGGACTCATCCCTTCCTTTCAGTTTTTTTGGGTGGGGTTGTACCACCCTTAGGCTTCTTCAGAAATGTAACTGTGGCAAAGCTGAGCTAGTCAGAGTCAGATTGATGGGGAGACTGGTCCAGAGAGGAGTTCACGCCAGCAGAAGTCATTGATGGGACTTGCTGTGAAGAGGAGTTCTCATCTTGCTGTGGCTGCTAATCTGGTAAAATAGAATCTCTTGCTTCGGGTGGCCATCCTAGGGAAAGAGGGACTACACGGAGGCAAAGCCATGGAAGAGGAAAGGAGAGCTTAGAGGGAGCAAGAGACCAGCACCTAAGGATGTCATTTGATGAAGGCTTAGGTTCAGCCGTGACTGAAACTATTAATATTTCCTTTGGATTTCTTGAAAATTTCCTTTGGTTCCTTAAGCCTGTTTTGCTTAGGTTTCTGATGCTTTCCACTGAAAAAAATTCCAGCTAATATGAGTCCTTTTCAGGTGCCCTCTACCACCTAACACCACTTTTAAAAAAACATTTCTCTTTAATATTTATATCCACAATAAGCTGGGTGGCATGGGGTTGCATATGACCAATAAATCAGTTTCCTTTTGATGTACTCTTGGAAATTTTTGCTATTTTAAAGGCTAAGCCTACAGAACAGAGAGAGATAGAAGTAAGACAAATTCTGATGAAAGATTTTTAAATTCTTTACTCTTTTCTCCCAATATAGCTCTTTGCAAGAAATTAAATCCAAACAATCCACAAAGGTGAAATGCACAAAAGTGAAAATCTCCCATAATTTTACTTTCCAGAAATAACTATGGCTGATGTTTCAGTGGTGTGCCATTCAAAATGTGACCCACAGACCAATGCTTTGGCCTGGAACTGGTTACAAATGCAGAACCTCAGGCCTCAATCCGCTCTCACATTTTACATTTTAATAAGGCCCCCCGGAAATCTGTATGGACATCAAAGGCTGAAAAGTCTTGGCCTAATATATAGTCCTCCAGATTTTTTTTTCTTCTAGTTGCCAGCATTTTGGGGCACATTTAATTTTTTTTTTTAATTTTTACTGATTTTGTAAAGAAAGGACATATGAATACAATGGATCAGGGAGAATGAAATCAAAATCCTTCACAAATGTAAGGAATTCATTTACTGGGATCATATGCAAATTATAAAGGTGCTAAAAACCCAAACGTACCCTGCGTGTGTGCTAAGTCGCTTTAGTCGTGATTCCACTCTACAATCCCATTGACTATAGCCCACTAGGCTCCTCTGTCCATGGGATTCTCCAGGCAAAGATACTAGAGTGGGTTGCCATTTCCTCCTCCAGGGGATCTTCCTGATCCAGGCATCAAACTTACATCTCTTGCCTTGGCACGTGGCTTCTTTACCACTAGCGCCACCTGGGAGCAGGGATACACACTCGAGGACACTACATACAGTAGCAAACAATCCCAGGACAGGACACATTAGAGCTTCGGTTCTCCACCATCTGGAGGTCACACTGCCAGCCCCACATTCAGAGTTTCCAATTCAGCAGTATGGCTGGGTGCTGGGCGGTGGGAGGGGCAGGGGTGAGGCCTAAGAATCAGCATTCTAACAAGTTCCTGGGCAATGCTGATGCTACATTTCACCAGTGCTTCAAAAATAAAAATGGTTTTATACTATACATATATACATACTATATATACTATTCTGAACCTTGTTTTTTTTCACTTAATACTGTATCTTACAAGCTTTCCATGTCATCCACATAGCATTATGGCATTCCTCTTAAGGGCTGCAAGTTCAGAGATTTTTGGCTAATATAATAATATATGTCAAATGACAAAGAAGGGAATCACCAGCATCTTCAGAAGAAGGACAAGCAACCCCAGCACTGGAGTTATCATTTTCAACATTAAATGAGCAGCCTGTGTTTGAGTCTACAGATAAGCACAGGTTTGAATGGACCAGGAAAGTGATCAGCATTGTGCAAGTGCCACTAAAGACACATGAGAATCTAATTAACAAAATTCTACATTTAAAGCCAAGAGTCAAGTCAAGGTCTTTCTGTGAGGACTTGGGGAAAAGAACTGTATCCTCAACCGACATGGAATGCTCTCAAAATTCTCAGCTCAGACTTCTGAGGAGTAAGGTATGGTATAACTTACTAGACTTGCTTTGTCTAATCTTCATCTCATGTCAAGTCAACTCTGAAAATAAACTTCTCATATAAGGGAGCTGTGATGCAAAGGAAAGATATCCTCCACCTTCTCAAAGCTGGTGGGTGGTGAGAGGCTGTCTAAGACCCACAGTCTCAGGCTTCTTAAAATCCTACCATCCACAGATGCTATGAACTTGGTTAAACACTTGGCAAGATTAGTCGAGACATCATGTGAGTTGTAATCACACTGTGTTCTTCTGGGGACCTTCCAGGGCATAATCTAAATCCTCTGTTCATTTCTCTTTGAGGACAGAAGTATCATGGGACAAACACAGACCCAAGAAACTTCTCACACAGGAAGCTGCTAATGCAGCCTTTCATTGCTCTGACTGGTGTCAACCCAAACCCTACCATGTTGGCTACATTCCTAAAGAGTTTCACAACTGCTTTGCCAAGTGGCAGATACTGGCTTTGGGCAGAAAGGGGAAGACTATGTCACTGTGAGAACTTGGTATCCACTGTCCCTCCCATTTGCCTTCTTCGACGCAGAGGTTGGAAAGCTGAAAGCTATGTTCTACAGGCTCCTTGTGGCCAGGGTATGGCCTGCCATAGATACATGTGTGGGAGATTTGGAAGATGGACATAAGGGCGGGACTGTTCTTCCTGTTGCTTCTACTCTGCTGTTGGCAGACAGGAGCGATTCTTCAGCAGTGTCCCAGGGCCCAGGGCCCAGGGTCCAGGCTCCAGCTGTGTGACCGCTGCGGGGCTCTTCTGGTGGTGGTGGTAGAGTTTTCTGGATTGTTTCATTGCAGCTAAGGTGATGTGTTCAGTCTAGTCCCTGAACTTCTAGTCACATCCTGCTCCTGAGTAGGAGTAGGAGGTAGAGGGGGCTTCCCCCGGCAGGGCAGCCCCTTTTCCAACCTTCCCAACAATTCTGAGGTCTTCACACAGGCACCTTGTCTGTTGAGTATTTGCTGGTTGCTGTTTCTCTGACAAGGACCAAAAATCTAGTGTGCCTTCTTTCTGATGTCACTCTCCATAAATTTCTCAGGTAACTCAGATGCCAGGACTTCTAAAATATCAGTCACAGTCCTGAAGAGGTCAGGTATCACTCTCCAACAATTCTGAATGTACTGAAATCCTGGATTAAATTTCTTTCTGCTTAAGAAAGTGGATTGTATTTCCCATGACTGAACCATGACTCAGATCCTGATTTAAACACAAGTCCTGAGTTTTTCTAGATAGTTTCTAAAACTTTTCAGACCCTCACTGAAGTAGGGCTACTGCTATTATTTTTATTTACTTCTTATGCTAAGCTATTGTTTTGGCATTTGATATTGAAGATATGTTTCATGTAACTTTTAGAACAATTCTAGAGGTAGTTCCTAGTATCTCTGTTCATCCTGATGATAAAACTGAGACTTGGAAAGATTAAGTGATTTACCCCAGACCACATGGATAGAGCAAGCCAAAAATCCATTCCAGATGAAGAGTGCGTGGTATTTCCATTGTGCCATGCTGTCTTAGTGCTTAGGTGTCTAGTATAGTGTCTTGAACATAGAGGACATCTAATAAATCTTTGTTAAAATATGAAAAGAGCAAACATTTCCATTTAAAAATTTTATCTTCAATATCACAAGCTGGCATCAAGATTGCCAGGAGAAATATCAACAACTTCAGATATGCAGATGATACCAGTCAAATGGCAGAAAATGAAGAGGACCTAAAGAGCCTCTTGATGAGGGTAAAAGAGGAGAGTGAAAAAGCTGGCTTAAAACTCGACATTAAAAAAAACTAAGATCATGGCATCTGGTCCCATCACTTCATGGCAAATATATGGGGAAAAAGTGGAAACAGTGGCAGATTTTGTTTTCTTAGACACCAAAACCACTGCAGAAGGTAACTACAGCCATGAAATTAAAAGATGCATGCTGCAAGGAAGAAAAGCTATGACAAACTTTATGTATTAAAAAGTGGAGACATCACTTTGCCCCTTGTGGCTCAGCTGGTAAAGAATCCGCCTACAATGTGAGAGACCTGGGTTCGATCCCTGGGTTGGGAAGATCCCCTGGAGATGGGAAAGGCTACCCACTCCTGTATTCTGGCCTGGAGAATTCCATGAACTCTGTAGTCCATGGGGTTGCAAAGAGTCGGACACGACTGAGTGACTTTCACTTCACTTTGCCAACAAAGGTCGGTATAGTCAAAGTTATGGTTTTTCTAGTAGTCATGTACAGATGTGAGAGTTAGACCATAAGGAAGGCTGATTGCCCAAGAATTGATGCTTTCAAACTGTGGTGCTGGAGAAGACTCTTGAGAGTCCCTTGGACAGCAAGGAGATCAAACCAGGAGATTCTAAAGGAAATCAACCCTGAATATTCATTGGAAAAACTGATGCTGAAACTGAAGCTCCAATACTTTGGCCACCTGATGCAAACAGCCTGCTTATGGAAAAGACTCTGATGCTAAGAAAGATTGAGGGAAGGAGGAGAAGGGGACGACAGGGGACAAGATGGTTGGATGCATCATAGACTCAATGGACATAAGTTTGAACAAACTCTAGGAGATAGTGGTT